ATATGGCACTCATTTCTACATCCAAGATGGCGGGCACGATTTTTCAAAAAAATGCAATATGGGTATCGTTTTCGAGGTATTTGGGGGTGCTCATTACGAATATTGCTTTTATTTGAACTGTCGTGTTTGCCATCTTGGATTTAGAAATGAGTCCCATATTTGTATTGAACATTCCCAAACATCTCGAAAACGATACCCAACTTGCCATTATTCGAAAAATCGCGCCCGCCATCTTGGATTTAGAAATAAGTGCCATATTCGAAATCTAAAACCGAAAATGCCATAAGCAAACATTAAAGAAAATAACTGTTAAAATAGATTAAAAAATCGCTTAAGAATGCTCCCCTTTTAAGAAAATAAAATATTTTAATATAAAATATTTCGCTTGAGTTACGAAAAGAAAGACATATATTAAGCTATCAAAGTTGTACTGGTGGTGCCAACACTATAGTAGAAACAAATATATACTGTAAATTTGTTGCAATATGTGCTCCAATTCAAATAAAATTAATATAAATAATTATTCAATAAAGCATGAACGCAGAGCCGTTAAAAGTATTATAAAATAATTAAGTGTCCCAATCACTTACAGGAGTTAACGAAAACATTTAATGTTTATTCGAGTAAATATTAGTTCAAAATGCGCAAATAAATCGAAATTACAGGCACCACTAAAATTTACGTAATATAATTATTTTGATACAGAATAGCAAAATGGGGAGAAAAAAAATTCGTTACTTTGCAACATTTTCGTATCTTGTTGCCGCGAAATTATTTTTCTGTTTTAGTGAATATTTACATAAAAATATGAGTTGAAACGCATTACTTACTTGTGGAATGCGATGTTAGTGTCTATTTTGTTTGTCTGTTGTATTTTTACACCCATTTACCGCACATTTCGTCATTTTTAGCAAAAAATTTTGGAGCTGTTCGCGGTGCAATATGACCTTGAGCACTAACAGCCCGCGCGCTCCTGGGACGCGTTTGGAACCCTCTAACTTGCCTCACTTAGCGTGTGCGGGCTAGGTTTCTATGCGTTATTATTCTAAGGTTAGCTACCATTCGCGGAAAAATATTGATAAAATGGGTCAATGCCATCTAGCTGATTTTTAGGGAACTATTTCATGAGCAAAGTTGCTTAGAAGTCTAGTATACAAAATAGGTTCGTTACGGTACAGTATTTTTTTTATTACTTTCCCCAAAAACATCACTTATCGTCAGTAATATGAACAGTAATAAATAATTAAAAAATGTATATTGTCAAAAGACAAAGACGTCGAATAAACAATTAAATTACCATTTCCGTTCATTGTGCAATATAAGGTGTTTCAGTCCGGTATAAAAAATTTCATCGTTTGTAACCCTTCTGATGGTTTGATTTTGCACATCAGTTTTTAAACACTTTTGTGTTGTCATCGATTTATGTAAGCCTCGTTTGGATTTATCTGGCTAGAAATATGCATAAATGAGCTGCTGTCACCAGCCTAATATCGTGTTTTTTTTAAACTTTATTTTGAACGATGTGTTTGTTTGACGTGTTGTTTTGGATGTGTTAGGTCGAACAGCACACGCGGTGCCATCGCCGAAGAAGTGGCGGCTCTGATTCGTGTGCTCTGGGGTGGACACTACCGATTCATCAGTGCCAAGGATTTTCGGGTATGGTTTACATTATAACAACATTCAACGCGTTATTATAAACCCGAAACGATGGGACATACTATAATAGAACACATATTTTACCTGACTAGGCATGCAACATTTTACTTCAATTTAATTTGACTATATCATTGTCAATGGACTTGTCTATTAATAACAACAATTATCAGTACAGAGTACCAAAAAAACCGAGTTCACATGTCATTAATTCCCTAGTTTGCCACCTTTAGAAGTGGAATATTTAATTCAAATTTATATGGGACCACTTCAGAGGTACCTTCTCTCCAACAAAAAGGAATTATCGAAATCGGTTCACAAAGTTATCGCGTAACTTACGTACAATAAAAACATACAGCCGAATTGAGAACCTCCATTTTAGAATTTATTATACATCATTGTACATACATACATACATACATCATTGCTTGCATTCAAGCCGCGCTGCTACGTTTTTATAAAGTTACTTACTAAGGCGGTAATCACTAACTGTAGAATGTACTGAAATCTGTAGGCTTATATTCCAAATGTTGTGTGATGTGCAGAAGGAGTTGGGCAAGCACCAGCGTGCGTTCCGCGGCTGCGAACAGCAGGACTCCCATGAGTTCCTCACCATCCTAATGGACTGGCTGCACCTCGACCTGCAGTTCACCATCAAACCGCAGCCCAAAGTAAGTTACTATAATTCACTTTAGTCACTTTTCAAGTTTTTGATAATTTATTTTTTGTGTGTAGATGTGTGAAGATTTTAACCAGTTTTCTGATACGTCGGTGTGGTGTAGCGTGATTAATTTATGTGTTTCCATCAGCATCCTTTACAGTCCAGCACATAATGTTAAGGATGTATTATCTGGAAAATTAAAACTTTCTTTGGTTCAACCCAACGTTTATAATTTTCTTTTCGGATGTGTAACAATTGCAAAATTCTAGGAACTCGACATGCATTTTCTTACTCTTCTCCTTAGATGAGACCCGTGCACGGCAGCGGGCCGTGCTATTCGAAAAAGAATTAATAATAATTCATTGTCCTACCAGGAGAACATGGGTCCAGCAGAGCGCGCCTGGCACGAGTACACCAAGGCTAAAGAGTCGCTAATCCTACGGCTGTTCTACGGGCAGATCAAGTCCACTGTGCGCTGCACCGTCTGCGGCAAGACCAGTGTCACCTACGACAGCTTTTCCAGCTTGTCGCTCGAGCTGCCCGCTAACGCAGCTCGTTGCACTCTCAGTGTTAGTATAGTCACAGAAAATACAATACTATACTAGTAGAAATACGCAATCTCATACAAAGAAATGTGGCGCTGATATAATACTCGCAAATAAGTTGTCTGTATTTTTAATATTTTAAAGGAAAAGTCGCTGCTAGAACGTTACTTAATTTCGAGAATAAATTCAAAGAAATGCCATCTATACAATTTACTGCAAACTAACCAATCAAAAAGTACACCATTTGGAAACCCTCGACCTTTTCAACGACTGTTTTCACGAATTTTTATAATTTGAAATGAATTTTATTTGAACATTCCTGAAATGTTGTTTAGAAAGTTTCGCATTTCTTTCTTTATTTTATACTTACTTAATGTGATATACCTCACATTTTTGATACTCAGTACTTTATAATTTTTATTTTATTCATGTGTCGCCATCTACACATTTAAATATGAACTAAGTTAATTTGTATTAATTGATACCCCATGGTATTAGTTGTACACATACTTTGACAATTTTTGTCTTCTCATAAATGCCCATAATACATACTGTTATCGCAAATCAAATTGTTTAAATATTTGCTTGTGTGTACACTGAGTGATCGACGTATAATTAAAGACGGTAACTTTACAAAACTTCTATTACAGACTATATAACTACCTCCGTGGCCGAACGGTTACCATGCCGAACTGCCACGCAGAGGTCCCAGGTTCGATTCCCGGGCCGGGAGAAATATTTGTATGGCCTACATGTATTTCTCTCGTGAGTTTGGGTGTAATTTGTGGTTGTCTATGTGTGTGTCCATGGCACCCGCGACACAGGGTTTCCCTAGTGCGGGGCTATGTCGAGTGTGTGCGTTATTATAAAAAAAAAAAAAAAAAATATATTACAAAGGTTTAGGTTATTAACTAAATGTAAACATACCATAATGAAGCGGTTTATGAGGCACACGTGGTCACTTATTATAAAATTATAATGAACATTTTGAAAACGGTTGAAAATACGTGGTAATATTTTTATGGCAATAGACAACATTTCGAAATACCTATTTAAAATAGTATTAAATAATATTTAAATAAAGATGTTTAATAAGGCGCATCACAACTTTCCTACGATAATCAACCTAAAATCCAGCCATTATAAAGATGACCAAATCAACATTATAAACATTATAAATACGATCTATGAAACTCACTACTAAATGTTGTATTTGACCGGTTAACCAAGCGACAGGAGAGGTTTGTTTACTTTTAATTTATTACCTAAACCTATTTATACTTAGCACACGAATGTTAGTGCAAACGTATAAATATGACTGGGCCTCTGCGTGCACTGAGTTGCATTACATTATTATATTTTTACAAATAGAAACTTTGGTTTTACAATTCTTTTAGAACGTTTACTAAAAGACTATAATACTTTATGAACTATGTTGAATGAGTGCTCACTAAATGCACACGCTAAATATTTTATGTCGAAATTGCTGTAATTTGGAGCATTCGATCGTTTGAAGGGTAACTACATCGCTGAATAATTCATACTATAGTGTGTGATTCGATGCTAGCTGCAATACAAACAGATACTCAAGAAGGGATATTCTCAACATAATAAACAATTTACATCAACGTTTTAGTCATAAACGTTTTGTAACAATACCTAATGTAAGACATACTTTAAATCACAATTGCCTAAATGGCTTTTGAAACATTATTTTTACAGTAATAAAGAATAAAATGTACAAATATAAATTTATATTAATTTGAATTGCGATAATAGAGAACAGATGTGAAATCCTGTTAATAACATCTGCTTATAGGTTAAATACAATATACCTAATTTTACTTAAAGTTTGCATAATTACTGTATTTTGGTATTTTATGGTGTTATAATCGTTAACGTCACGATCAGGACTGCCTTCGCCTGTATCTGACCGGAGAAACGATCCCCGGCTGGAACTGCCCAACCTGTAAAGAGAAACGGGACGCGGTCAAGAAGCTGGACATCTCGCGGCTACCTCCAGTATTGGTGATTCACTTCAAGCGGTTCTATCTCGACCGGCAGGTACGGCCAGAATACGGAGGCACCCAGGTAAACATGGCTCCTCTACCGATAGAAACCGACTTCAAAATAACGCGGATCGGTCCTCGTAAGGATGAGGCCATGTCGCCTTTAAGTGTCTCCAACACTTCGTTTAACACATTTCCCACTTTCTAAACGCCTACAATCTATCTATAAGTACTATACAGTATGAGAGGTTCGACGATCCGAATCTCTAGCGGCATGTTATAGTCTGTCTTTTTTGAAGACTGAGTAAAATGACAGTTGATTGTGCAAAAGTGTTGCCCGCTTGCAAGCAGCTAGTAATTGCATTCGATAAATATTCTATCGAGTTTCGACTGAACATTTCGATTTTCGATTTCGATACTAGTTGGCCAACTGTCAAATTGAGAATAAAAAAGACAATAACGCAATTAGTAGTCATTAGAACGTTGTAACATTCACAAATCAGTATTTTTTTGTCAAAAATTTTATCTTCTTTCACAATCTATCGATAAAATAATCGACAACAGCTACAGCTATGACAACTGGCAATCCTGCAAATGTCATTTTACTCGTCTTCAAAAAAGACAGACTATAGGTACGTATTTTTAATTTGTAAGTTACGTACATTTGTGACGTACATTTACTAACAATACTTTTGTCTTCATTGTGAGGAAAAACATCGTGTACAAACCTGTACGTCGAAAAATTCCTCGGCCTTAAACCTTTTTTTAAACGTGCACCGAACAGTGGAGCTTAGAATGCAATAAAACATGGTATTTCGTATTACATTCAGTCTGACTTGTTTATGGCAAACTCTGTACAGGTTATTCCCCTGTATATAAATGTACAAAAAAGAAATCTTAGCTTTAATTGTGCACTGACGGCGGAGAAGGACGTTTTAAAAGAGAATTTACTATTACAAATAAAATACGTTTAATTCGGAACAAAAACCTTCAAGACTAAAGTAGAAGAAATACAATGAAAAGTAGAAAAGCATTACGTTACATAACTCTAATTAGTAAGCTAATTTGCCGTCGGTGGAGATTCAGCATTTACCAGGTTTTACGCCGTGGTAACTTTTTTGGTTATACAACGGCCTGAATAGGAAAAATTTAAAAAAACTGCAAATGTTTTGACATTTGGAGGGCGTGTTAAACTTTTATGGGGTGCACCCTGGACATTTTCTACTAGAATTAAAAAGTGTACAAAATTATTGTTTATTATATATTGGCTACCATAAAATTAATCAGAGACATTTAGGGGTAGTTGGCAATAGGGGTCAGCTGTCCATCTATATTAATATTTTTCCAAGATGGCAAGGTGGATTCAAAACTGTGGTCCAAAAGAAAACTTTCTCCGTTCGATTGTTCTTTATAATCCTTAAAATTCGTGTGGAGCACGTGAGCGTCCATTATGTTTTACCGACTCAATGTGCACACTTTACTGCATTGTGTTGTACGAAATGAATGTTAAATTAAACGGAAAATGACACTATTCTGTTTTGAAGTCGGTCCCAAATTGTAGTAGTGTTTCATATCTATCGTGTAGCAAACCATCTGATTGTATATTTTCTTTTAACTTGATTAGTGTGTCTTTTGGTAAGCTTAATTTTTTTACTTTGCTCTTGTTGGGAATTCATATTAGTAGCATCTACGTAGTTACATTTACATATTTTTATTATAGTAATTTGTTATCAGAGATAGGAATAGGGGGAGTATATTTATCTCGACTTAAAAGAAGTAATACTTTAGGAAGAGTGTATAGTATCTACCTCTGGAATCTCGAAATTAGTCAATGTGTAACCAGCAATTACTACAATAGTGTATTTACAAGGTAAGTTTTGTAATTATTAGTGAAAGTAAACCATTTTTGTTTTATTTTTTGCCTGTTGTTTTTATTCAATCCGGGTTTTGCAGAAAGTTACAATTCCATGTGTATTACTTGAAGTTTAGATAAAGGTACTCAGATTGCATAAATATCTCTAGTTATTTATTGCATTTGAAATTGTCATGTTTTTTGTAATTGATTCGTATAGCATTTATTTTTCTGGTAGTTTATGGTCGCGACCAGTTGTTTACCTACACTTGAAATGAACATGGAACTCAAACCTGGCAAGTATATAACACAAATTTATACTTATTTAACACAGTGTTCTGGAAACTGAATGATTGCTATTCAAATATGATTTTACTCGCCCTGGAAAAACTTGGTTTGATTGTGCGGGTCTCTCTAGAAAATCTCTTGTTTCCACTAAATAAATTTGATCACTTGATAGGTGTCAAAGCCTCTCGCCTCTGCGATTATTGTAAAATAATAGAACACCTGATCCGTCTGTTAGTGGATTGTGACCACACTAGTGCCGCGATAGTACGACGATGGAATTGAAGGGAAGAAAAGTAGCCAAGAAGATTTATACTTAATAACTTACTACATTGAATCCAAGGCTACCCCTAACTGACCACGTAATTTGATATTCCCCATGAGACCGGCATAAACACCTTATAGTACAGTGTTAAAGGACTTGTTAAAATATAAGAATAAAAAAATATGATTTTGATCGTGTTTGACCCACGTTTGTGCAGGTCTATTTTTGAATTTAATAAAAAGACGCGATAATTCACGCTGCATGATGTCGTTTTTTTTTTCAAATAATAATGGTACGTTTCGTTCGCCGGTTATTGTACTTGAGTCCTTTACCCTTAACTGTGCCATTTCCGAAGAACGATATATCTCTCACTCTGAACATAATTTAAGGTATAAAATTGTTATTATTAAAAAAAAGAAAGCATATCTTAAAGGGAAAGGGAAATATTGCCTCCTTACCTATTTCTGTCGCCAAGCGCTAATCTGAGCATTACTGTGTTCCGGTTTTTAAAGATACGGGTGCTGGTGAAATTAGAGGCACATGGGACTAGTCAACTTATGTCTCAATACAGATGTACCGCTTAGAAACCCCCCCACTACCAATCTCTAGCGTCACCGTCTTGCCAACGCACGCTCAACGGTGTTGTCAATTGTTTCACTTCAAATTGACCAGTTAACTTGAGCTTTGCTATAATGGACGAAAATTGCAAAATTACATATTTAATATTTAATTACCGACGAAATTTGATTCCGTTTGTTTTGTAATTAAATATTTTGCTGTTTTTCTCACACCACCGTATCAACGGATCATTGAAAGAAAAAAGTATTAATTCTAATTAATGTTATGATGTTTTACCACTACTACCACTATGTGTTCTACCATGATGTTCAATTATTTTTTGTGAAATTACTTCACTAGTTTGTTATAGTTATTAATACAAAGATCGAACACTCAGAAAAAATTCCTTTGATCTAACCGGACTGGAACCTGGGTCTGTAATGCCAAACTAGGGCAACCGCTCTAACAATCTCTGTTTTTGATTTTTATTTATCGCAATATCTAGACGTATTTATAAGAACTTGCATGGTTACAGGACGTGTTTAGCAAAAAGATGACGTACATCGATTTCCCTCTGGCGGAGCTCGACATGCGGCCATTCTCTTTGCACGTGCCCAGCAACCGCCCGTACAGCCTCTACGCTGTCTCCAACCACTACGGCTCCACGCAGAGTGGACACTACACCGCTGCTTGCAAGAGTAGCGTCTACGGCAAGTGAGTATTGCCCTTTGTAATCAATATCTATTAAATAGTGTAAACAGTAAGTACATCACAAAATTGTTTTAGCCCTATTAAATCAAGGAACTTGTATGATTATTATTGCTATTGCAATATCTGAGCTGATAGATGATTTGTGTTGTGTCATTTGTCTGATAATTGTCTAAGCTGATTTTTCGTTTTGCCTTTTTAATGTTTGACTAAAATGAAAATTCTAATATATTGATTTATAAAATCGTGTTTGAATAGACAAGACGGGACATTATAGACAAATTAACTTTATAATTATTAACGTTTAAGAATCCATACAACCTCATGGGCTTTGGTTGATACCGCATAGCGGTAAAAGTCTTGAATCAATCACTTTTGAAAAAATATGCAGTAAAATTGAGGCTATGCACTGAAAACTATACGGGGTGAAAACACGATTTCTAAAAACTTTCACGATAGGAAAAAAAACACAAACTTATCTCGAAATTTTACAAGAACACCGCTGTATTCAGTGGGCAATTTACATATACCAACGATTTTGTGTTATATGAACTGAATTAAATAGAACACCTTAAGTTTGTAAAAACATAACTTATGAAATAAATCCAGTGTCCGTACGGCCCGACCCAAGCTAAATGAACCGTATTTGTATTGAAAAAAATTTAAAAATTTTCGAGGTGAGGTGGTATAGACCCTTAACCATCACCTGGCCTTTCATTTATTACATATAAAATGTTCATCTTTCTGAAGTATTGTTTGGAATCTTGTTGTACAGTACTATTGGCCTGCAATGCGAACTGTTTTTTTTTCATATGGAGACTTATTTTGAGTGCTCTGCAGTATGGCTTATTGACCACGCGAATTTGTCGGTTTTCCAACATCGCGACAACTAGCTCTTGCGTTTTCGTCGAGGCTTACGAAGCGAATAAGCGAATGCTCTGCGAGTGAAGTTTGATTGGTTTACGTGCTATGTGGTATAAACATGTTGCCAAAAAGGGACGTTGTTAGGGTCTTGTACAAGTCTAATATGAACTAAATGAAAATTTTCTCAAAGGTGGTGCTGACCAGTAAACTCTAAGATCTGTAACAAACACACAGATTAATTCGTACGATCTACTGACTCAGTAGCTTAATTGGTTAAAAGCGGCATGGCAACAGACACTGGTTCGAGTCCAATCAGATTTATGTTTTTCGGAGAAAAAGACTAAGACGAAGTTTTTTTTTTGTTTTGCAGTGTATAACATGTCGTGCTGTTGACTTTACAAGACTATTTGACATTTAAATTTTGAAACCTGCTATCCTCTATTTTTTTATTAATTATTTTGACATGCGCAGGCGTTCCTCTTTTTATTAAATCGCAATATTGTTGTTTTTTTTTTAGTTCTAATCATCGAGTATAACCAACCAACCAGAAGTAGAAACGAAATGTCTTTGAATTTGTTAAAAAACTATTCTACTAAATCATTACTGTGACGACTGCACTCCGATTGGCCAGCCCGCATTCGAAACAATTGACGGGTGTTGTCAATTCTTTCACTTTAAATTGACCAGTTAACTTGAGCTTTTCTATAATGGACGAAAATTGCAAAATTACTTATTTAATATTTAATTACCGATGAAATTTGATTCCGTTTGTTTTGTAATTAGATGTTTTGCTGTTTTTCCCACACCACCGAATGGAACAGATAGAGATATTATCTTTATTACAATTAATACAGAATATTTTTGGTATATACGGAGACGTACAAACAGGTCAGTTGTTGGCGCTGTAACTATTTCAGATTTCTAATTTGTGATTTCAGCGCAAACGAGAGTTGATGTTAATTTAAAAGTGATATAAGCCCGTTGGCTGATGAGTTGCCAGGGTTGGATGGTCCTTATCTGTATTTCTGGTTATAAACTCGATGGTTCTAATGTCTTATTCAATCAAAAATTTCTAGTTATGTATAATGTAATAGGACTTTAGGAATAAATGCGAACATTGTATATTTTGCTGTTAATATTTGTATATCAGGTACTAGCGCAACACGCTGAACTATAGCACCGTGCATAAGTAAATGTATCTGCATCTCTCTTAATAAACAATTGTCTTTCAGATGGTACAAGTACGACGATCATGCAGTCGCCGAGATGCCGCCGAGCGAGGTCAAGTCCAGCGCCGCGTACATCTTGTTCTACTCGGCCTGTGGATCCGTATGATGCGTGGCGAAACAACTGCAACATCTCTCGTTGCAGTTTGATGCTCGAAACCACCCCAGCGCACCCCCCGTACCGCCAGTATTCACCTTGTGCTGCTCGCGCCCCGCGACCCCGGCCCCCGCGACCCCGCCCCCGGCGCTCCCGCCTCTCGCGATCCCCTCTATTTCGCTGCAGAACAAAAACCCCGACCACGACTCGGACTACGACTCGGATGTCGACGATTATAACAAAAACTCCGAATGAAACCGAGCGAAGCCGACGACGCCCGAAAGGAGTGCCATCGGCAAAACGAACCGCAATGTCAATTTAGTGCCGGATCACCTTCAATTAACGCTATAGATGTAATTTACGCCGAGCTGTGTGCGGCAGTGACGAGGTGCGGGTGACGCTAGTGGCCACGGCAGCGTAGTTCCAGTTTACAGCGGGTCATAGGCCCTAACACACACGGTATTGCGACTAGATGATTATCTTAGATTATAAGCGCCACCTGTCGTGCAACTACACAACTGCTTTGCGCAGCGGTAGATAAGTCCATGTACACGCAAACGGCAAAACTGTCGTTTGTTACCATAGTCTTACTGACGTAGTTATATAAATGTTAAAGTGTTGTTAAGACAACTTCTGTCTATATATCTCGATGTATAGCTTCTCGTGCAGTTGTGTGGTCCTGTCCGAGACTGCGACCGCTTTAGTAAATATTTAATTTTATAAGTAAATGTAGCAAGCAACGTCTATGTTCGATATTCTTGGTGTTAAATGTGCGCGGGAGCATGTTACGTTACAACGGAATTGCAACCGACGATTTTGGAACTTCACAAGGTGACACGCAGGCCTATACTGTAACATAAGTATTGTAGTTAACTCGGACGAGTGTCGTAGTAAAGAACAGCCGTTCTTTTGTAGTGGTGCCATATCGTTAAGCCGCCGTGAGGGCTTTAGCTTTTCTAGCCTCCAGCTTACTTCTATCCGACTGCGGCGTACCCGAAAAAGAGAAATATATTTTCATATGTCCGTAGTATCTTGTGGTTCACAAACCGTCGGCCTGTTTTCTAATGATTAATTAAACATGAATATTCTTAAAGTTGATGTGCGTTGTAGTTTATTAGTGTTAAATCTGATAATATTGTTTTTCATTATCGTAAGTTTATGTTAGAAAGAAAGCGAGTTAAATATCCAGAATTAAATACCGTTACATTTCCACATAATTGTTTATTATATACACAATGTAATCAAATAAACATTTATATGAACGTTATACATACTAGCTAAATTCAGAAATAGTTTAGTGTAATCAAGCAGAGATTTCGCCTATGGTCCTGCCATCACTCCTTGTGTTTAAATCAGTTTGTGAATAAAGTTTAAACCGACTGTGAACTGGCAACCGTACTATCTCAGTTTTGACACACTTTACTGGTGAAGAAAAAAATTGTTTGAGTCATTTATATACCATCTGGTTTGTTAAATAAAAATACATAGTGTACGCATTGACCTACCAACAAATGGACATCGGGTCTAATACAAAAACCACTAAAAAAATGTCCGAAGTTAACCTATACAAACGTAGTGACATGTAACGAAATATAAAAAACTAAAACATTTCATTTAAATTGTAACGTCACTGCAGTACTGCCTAAATTTGCTTATTTAAGGGCCCAAAACACCATATTCAGTTTCTACTGAAAACTTAACAACATGCACCATATTTAGCTTCGACTGAAAATTACTTGAACACAAGAGTAATGGAATAGCCTTTCTCGTCTATTTATTTATTTATTTACTGTAAATATTGATTAATTTTTTTTATATATATTATTACGTCGAATTTTGCACAAATTCACTTAAAGTATAATAAAGAGTTGGGCACATACATAAATACAATTATTACTACAAATGTGAAAATAAGCGTGTACTATAAGAAATGTACCGATATTCTAACTAAACGTAAACTCAAATATTCGCAATTCCGATTTATAACAAAACCGTTACGCTTTCGAGTTATTTTGATGCTATTTACATAGACATAATTAGCTTTTGTTTTGTAATCTTCGTAAAAACACATTATGAAAATTCGAGCTAATGTTATTTCGGGCAAATGTATTTTCTGACTTCTGATAGGTAATCCCATGCCGTAAAACGAGTACGACAATATTTTGTTAGTTATTGCTAACGTTTAATAAAAAAATCATTTTAAAAATAGGATTAAAATCAAAGCAACTCTACAGTTTCTTTGTTCTAAATATTTCAATCGCTTGTGGTTCGAACAATTGAAAATGACCAAGAATATAAGCTTCTTGTGACTGACGTAACGGGTCTCTTTCCACCTTTTGCGCATGCAATGAGTAGAAAAAGGACCGTTAGCTATTTCATTATTTCGTGTGCTTTTGTAATTCATATTTACGATTCAGTTATATACAAATCAAATACTATAAAACTGTACAAAATAACACTCTTAAATGACAACTATGATAACACAATATATTTGTTTAGTGAAAATATTATACAAAATCCTGTTTTCACACTTTACTGCAGTCATTTTTACAAGTTATTATTATTGGTACTGCATGATTGCCAACCGCGCTGTCACTCGAACAAACGAAGACTATTGCGCGATTGACGCTTTATAAATGACGCAAAAAAAACTTTTTATTCACCTGTAAAGTTGTCATAATTGAGATATTACCGGTTGCCAGTTCACAGTGGAACAGCTATCTCGTTAAGTCGATGGGGCCACCTTCATAAGCGAGAACGGAAACTAGATAGCTTCATACCTTATAGTAGTAGCTCCTGTTTGTTTCCTTGATCAGCGAGCAGATGTAGGCGGATCGCACTCAATCTAATGTGGTGGCGATAGAGGGCAGTAGAATATTTGGCGAATTGATGGCAAAGATCGATCGATAAAGTCGTAATAGCAGAGGTTCAGTTACGCCCCTTTGCCGAAGAAACGAGTCGGGGTCTACAAGGTGTACAGGGTCTAGGTGTTTAGGCGCATGTTTTGATACAACGCAAAAGTTTAAAAGCGACCTTTAAACACCACTCTCTCCTAAAGCACTCTTGTAAACGCACATGTAAACAGGCCAATACACTGCGCGTCTTACGTCGTTGCGTTTCTTCTGTACTTCGTACCTTGTTACACGAGTTTGACTGACACAGTACAATTAATTATTATTTATTAACGTATAAATGTATTGCCATTGTATATATACGTTGTCCTGAAAGCCGGTGCGGTGGCGATCACGAAAGTTAGGCAACTGATCGCCACCGTAATTTTGACTCTTCGAGATGCAATGGTGGAAACACGAAGCCATCAGCCTCAGCATCAGACACTGCATGAAGCAAGCAGCAGTGCAGATTGGCTTAAAAACCTATAACCAATTTGAAGATTTACTTGGAATTCCATTCGCAGTCACTCACGCGCTGGCGCGATTATTGCTTTGTACAGTGAATACCATAAAAACGGCTTGGAATGCCTTTCTCCTAGAAGGTAGGTATTGGAATTATTTTGAATATTTTGTGTTACACATTCAAACGTCGTCGTAGTTTTGTTTATCAGTAATAATTTCATTATTCATTTTGCTGTCTTGGAATATTTAACTGTGGTATGTACACTCGGTTTGATATTATACTAACCGAGAACAGCACGGGACGAATCAAAATTTCAAACAATACATTTTTAAATTAAAGTTTTGTAAATCTAAATGTAGTCTTAAGTCCTATATTTATAAGGATAAATTATTCTTGGTAGATTAAACTGCGACTTCATTTATTTCACAATTCTGTTTGTATTCATATAATAACAGAAATGGTCGGATCTATGTGTAGATAAATATATAGATACAAGGAGTGACATGGAGTAATTAAAACCACCAAATATTAATTAATTAATTTTTCGAATTCATAATGAAGTTCGTAGATAACTATATATTATATAATAATAATGAATAACATCCGCATTAGTTAAAATAAGCTTTTGCTTGTAGTTCATAAAAAATGTTTCCTTCGGTCAAAGGTTAATTATATAACAAATTTTAATTACGTTCAAAGTCAGCTTCATAAGTGAGTAGTTATCTTACGTAAAACTATTTATTTATGCTCTTATCTTGCAGTAAAACTATTTCCAGAAATCCGGAATTCGAAAAGAAATATTTATATTTTTAACCACTCTATGTTACTCATTTGGAACACCCTATTCCGACTATTGATAATCGGTAATTTCTCTAGTTAATTCCCATTTCATTATTTAACGTTATAGCATCGTTATAGTGATTGAAGTTTTTTGCATTATTAGTTTCAAGGCGAGAATGTATCGTTTATGCTCGACCAGAAGTATACAATATTTAACCGTGTACAAAATTATAATCCAGAAAAAGGTGTTTCATTTTTAATATAGTTCTGGTCGAGTCCTAAATGTGAAGACTGATTGTACGGAATATATAAAGTTTTGTTATTACACAAATGTGACTTGTTTGAAATGTGCGACTGAGTGCAGGATACGAATACAGTGTTTGATGTTTGAGTTAAATATCATTAAGAAAGCGGGACTTGATTTTATGGATAGACAGGATTTCAAAAAACCAGAGCTTTGCGATTTCCAAGTGCTGTGTAATTGCCGCCTAGTGCTTTCTTATAGAGAAATATCAACAACGTACTGACAAATTTCAATTCAATTTAAAATCTCTCTTTTTGTATATGGAGTAAAATGATAGTTCATAGCGCAAAAGTGTTGCCCGCTCGCAAGCAGCTAGTGATTGCAATCAAAAATATTCTATCGACAATCGCCTGAATGTTGGTCACGCTTATGCAATAAATAACTGAAGCATCCAACTGCTTGGTACAGGTTGGTTTGAATTATAATTTTTTGTAAGTTCATTCTTACATACCCTGCATTTAGAATTATATCTATTAAAATACAAAGAGTAGACATATTTTAAAGTTTGTAATTTTAATTGAATGTAGGTAATGAATGAAATAAATTGATTTCTATTCTAGAACGACTGTCAAAATAAAAATGAAGACGATCAGAACGCATTTAATAATCATTAGAACGTCGTAACATTACATTTCAGGCATTTTTTTGCAAAACTGCCTTCTTTCACAATCCATCGATAAAACTGTCGACAACAACTACAGGACTATTTTAAATTTTCCCGGCAAATGTCATTTTACTCCGTCTTCAAAACAGACACTAGAGACAGACTTTTCTCTGTCTACGCTATACACACATTGACCATTGCCAAGAACTTTAGGTTTATTAAAGTCGTGTAGAAATGTTAAGTTTCAACCACATGACAATAAATAAGTTTTTTTTTCTTCCGTGTGTCTGCCCATGTTTAGTTA